GGCTTTCTCCAGTTGCGGCAAGTGGGGGCCACTCCTCATCGCGGTGCGCGGGCCTCTCACTATCTCGGCCTCTCTTGTTGCGGAGCACAGCCTCCGGACGCGCAGGCTCAGTAATTATGGCTCACGGGGCTAGCTGCTCCGCGGCATGTGGGATCCTCCCAGACCAGGGCTCGAACCCGTGTCTCCTGCATTGGCAGGTGGACTCTCAACTACTGCGCCACCAGGGAAGCCCGGAATCACACTTCTTGATTTCAAATTATATTACAAACAGTATGGTACTGGCATAAAAAAAGACGCATAGACTCACTGGAGAGAGTCAAGTGCCCAGAAATAAACCCAAGCATAAATGGTCGATTGATTTTCAACAAGGGTGTCAAGATATGCAATGGGGAAAGGATAACCTCTTCAATAAATAGGACAGCATGTGGGAAAACTGCATATCCACGTGCAAAAGAATGAAACTGGACCCTCATCTTACACTATACACAAAAATCAACTCAAGATGGATTAAAGACTGAAATGTAAGACCAGAGACTATAAAACTCCTAGAAGAAAACACAGGGAAAAAGCTCCTGACATTAACCTTCAAAATGATTTTTCGCATGTGACACCAAAAGCTCAAGCAACAAAAGCAAAAATAAACCAGTGGGACTACATCAAATAAAAAAGCTTGTGCACCGCAAAGGAAACATTCAACAAAGTGAAATGGCAACCTACAGATTGGGATTAAAATATCTGCAAGCTATACATCTGATAAGGGGTTAATATCCAAAATATATAAGGAACTCTTACAACTCAACAGCAAAAAGCAAACAGTCTGATGAAAAAATGGGCAAAGGACCTGAATAGACATTTTCCCAAAGAAGACATAGAAAAACACTGTCTTTAAGACAGAAGTTTAAGTTTTAGATTGCAGGGTACTTGGATCCTTCCAGCCTGGGTTGATAGAGTGTGGTCTCAGGTTCCCAATATTCTGAGCCTGGGTCCCTCAATCTCAAACTCAGTGGGCAAGGAGTCTCCACAAGCCACCTTCAAGTCAGCCGTGTGTGAACAGTTGCCTGTGAGCATGACTGTGCACTGGGAATTGCTCTATAGAAAGCTCGGCAAGGTGGAAACTTACAGTAAAATTTTCAGAACACATTAAGCATATGGTCTGACAGCAAAGGAACAAGGTCTTAAAAAAAAAAAGAACAAATAAAGCTATTATTTTTTTTAAAGTTCCCCAAATAAGCTATTAAGTCCTTCAGAGCACATACACAAGTATTTTCCAACCTCCCTCAACAAAAAAACAAGCTCTACAAAATCATCCCTCTTGACATAGCTCAAAAAAACAAACCAAACAAAGTAAAACAAAAACCATCAACTTGGTGTTGTGATAAAAACTAATCTTTCTGAAAAAACCTAGAGTAGTGAGGTGAACAGTGCTTCCTAGAAATAGGTTAACTACAGTTCCAATTCCAAAAATTCACTAATTGGGCATGATTTGGTGAGATCAGTCTTCCTCTCTTCACATCTCACAGGGAAAAATAAAAAAAGAGGTCAAGAGTACCAGTCTTAACTCTTACGAGTCAGGAAAGAACAGAGAGAAGGAGCCTTAGTAACCTTTTACTTCAGGGACTGAGCGTGTAAGCCTGCTGCTGCAGGCCTGGTATTTGCCTCTGTCTATCAGTTTGGAAGGAATTATTGCGCTGTCATATGACTGAGAGATAGAAACTCCACCGGTATTTTAAAAAGTGACAAGATATCTGTTTCACTGAACAATCCCAGAAGATAGTCTTCATTTTAATATAAAATGTTTCAGATTTACATACCTGAATAGAAAAAAGACACCAACATATAAAAAATATACTGCATGCAACAGACTTTTCTCCTTGGTCAAATTTGAAATAAAAGATTTGAAGATCCAAAGCTACATTAATGCAAATAACTGCCTATTGCAAGTATATTTTTTGATTAAATTGGCATACATCAAGTACAATTAGAAAGGTTATTTATAATGAAGAAATACATAATTCTGCATCTTAATGGGGATGACAATTACAGCTGATGGTTGTTAATTAACGTTAAGTTCTTTTGCTCTGGGTCTCAGATATTTCTTATAAGGTCTGTATGCTGGCAATGGACACAACTAATTTTGCAAGGTACAAAAGCAACGTTTGTGCTCATAAAAATTCATTGGTAACTTGCCCAGCTCTGGCTCCACACTGGAGACCTGAGGATCAAGTAGAATTGGTAAACTCTGACTCAGTGTCATGGCAGGAAAGGTATTTGTTCAAGTTTCTGAGCAAAGGCTCACCTACCCACCAGGTAGGTGTTCAGAATGATGGAGAAAAGCCCCTCCAGCTCTCTCTCCTGGTGGAATGGTCTGTGGGTGTTGCCTGTTCCAGGCAAGCAGAAATGCAAGGCATTGTTTAGTTCAGTGGTGCCACCCTCCTGTACCGAGATGCCCACTGTGCTTACTTTCTTGGACAGCTCAGGGGTGTGTGATCAGTATTGGAGGCCGGAAGTAAGATGGAAAGATAGAAACACTGCAGCTCTCAGCACAGAAAACTATTATAAAGCCCTCTTTGCTTGTGCTGTAAATTACATATTTATTTTGTTAGCATGAGATAGATGAACATTTCCACATACAAAGGTGCCCTGCTAAAATCAGGATAAGTGATATTAATGTCCTCTGGTCAGTATTATTGAACCTCGAAAGCAATAAACTTTATGCGTCAATAAATATTACATTTGCAACATAATTAACATTCCTTTACTGTCTCTAGCACTTATTACACATTGTAACCACAAGTCTACAATACATTATTCACATTTGGGGTGTCACCAAGTGATGGATTGCTGTAGGAGAGGCTGTCCTTTAAATAAATCAACAAATAAAAATGCAAATGTTAACATTTTCAGCCACAACTTCTCCCATCTTGAATGCGGAATGAAAATTTCACATTACATTGACACGCAGCAGAGAGAACAATTAACAACGTACACTGTGAATGAGAAAGATGACTTTGCCAAGCTAGGTTTTATCACCTGCACATGGACCCACATGGGACTCTTATAGATGCCAGCACTTTTCAGAGAACAAAGGAAACCTGTCGTCCACCGGCATCTGTCCCATCCCCATCCTCTTCTGCTGGTCTTGAAAATTCTTGGAATTTAGGGTGGACAGGGAAAGGACTTTTATTCTTGTTCTCCTCAGTACTTTCAAAGGTTTCTTGGGATGAAGAACAACAGGCTTTCCTCTTGCATTAAGAATTTATATGTAAAAGCAGTCTATAAAAAATGCCTTTTCTACACTTTGAAATAAAAATAATTCAAATAATCTTGATTCTGAAGTCTGGAAAGCAACCACTGTGCCTTCCTGGTAACTGATTTTCATAGTACTGAATCTTTTTTTTTCAACTCTGCACTTTGTATAATAGACCTATAATATGCCATCAAGCACTTCTAAGGATAAAATCTGGTGTGCTGCACATTGTTTTGTTTAGCCAAATGCTCATTATTTAAGAAGCTTCTGAGAATCTGTATTTAGCTGAACTGCAGCATTAAGAACTAATAGGTAAAGAATCCTTTTTTTAAGGTCTGTAGATATGAGACTTCACAGCGATTTTAACCTGGGCTTGTAAAACTCTACAAAGTTGATATGGCCATTTCAGAAAAGGGTTGATATAAAACCCTTACTGGGGAAACATTTTATTCTTCTTTTTCATGCTTTTCTCTAAACTGAAGTGCAATCATCAAAAACACATTAGAGTAGTGTTAAAGATCTCATTGAAGATCTTTGTGTCAAAGATAGGAAAATTCATTAAGTTTGAAAATCCAGATTGTCTTTCCTCTTTACCTATAACTCCTCCAAAGAAATCCCTCAGGATGAGCTAGGATGGATCCTCTCTGAGCACAAGCATTCATCCACAATGTTAAATGGTCCAAGGTGGAAGCCCCATCAACCTTTCAGAGCCACAACTCACTGTAGGTCTTTGGCAAAATGCCATGCATGGTAGCATTAAAAATAAAAGAAAGGAGTAATGGACAAAGAATGTGGTAAACTAGTTAAATTTTCTTTTGACTGTGGGTGGCTTCCAAAATAGGGACGTTGTCATTGTCAACTATTATAATATTTAAGATCATGGGCTTTGGAGTCTGAAATGCTGGCTCTACCTCTTACTAGCTATGTGACCTTAGGCAAGTCACTCATGAACCTTAGTTTCCCGATTTTTAAAATGAGTATGATAGTAGTACCACTTCATAGGCTGTGATGAAGATTAAATCAGATAATGCATACAAAGGGCTGGGCACATAGTAGATGCTTAATAGATGATAGCCATTATTATTATCCTCTGTGTTAAGAGTCATTTCCCAAAAGTTCTTTAAAATTAAGTCTTAAAATCTGTATTTATCTGATAAGATGCTAGGAATTTAAGTGCTCAACCATATCCCCAAGGAAACATAAACCAAGCCCTTTTGGTGTTGATGTTTATATATTCAGCCTTAAATGCATAATATGGGAGTTGGCTTATTAGATATGAGAAATTTTAATAACATATTTCTTTTCCTAACTCCAGAAAAGGCTGATCAAAGTATTAACTCCTCAAATGTCTCTGGTATAAGTAAATGTTGACAGTCATTTAACTGTAGTACAAAACCCACTACAGTTTTTAATATCAATGAATTCAGTTAGTTAAGCTTATAGTCCAAGTGTATAACCATTCCATGATAAGTTGGAAAGGACCTGCTGCTAAACAGACTTTTTGATGAAAGGCAGGATTAGCTTTGTGTTTCTGTGGAAATCCTTGTCAATTGTCATTACCAATTAAGGAAAAGCATGCATAAAGGAAAGGGCTCCATGAGTTCAACCTGGTCATAGCTAGATGCTTCCAAATAAGGGCCTCTCTCTTGAGTAGGAGGCATTAACAATTGTCAAGATTTTTCAATACTTATTAAATAACTCAAAAAAAGTTCTTATCTGAAGAATATTAAAACAAAGAATCCCTGAAACTTACCTGGGGGTGCCATGTTGCAATGATGCTGTGGTTGTGATTACAAGCTCCTTTTGGCTTCCTGTTGTCATAGGAGATGTGGACACATCTTTTCTAACTTCTGCCATTGTCCCTGAATGAACAATAAAGGAAATAATTTGGGCACTTAATAAAAGGAAAAGTCTATCCTGAGTAATATATTCGTATAGGAATCCCCAAGCTTTAGAAGCAAGCCATTTTCCCCCATGAAATGAAACAATGGCAGATGGAAAACTCGGTGAGTTGTTTTGGTTTTGTAAACATCAGTGATCCATAATATCTTGTTTTTAAAAAAGTGCATTTGTGCAATAACAGACTAACTAGAGATTTTGTTTTTAAACCTGATGGCCTATCAAAGTCCTGCTGATTTGGGTTTATTGTAAAAATGCCCAAGGAGATAGACTGGTTTATTTTGTTCCTTTTAACTATCAATATCATAAGAAAAGTTTTTTCCTCTCTTTGACAAAATTGATAATTCCAGCACTTTGTACTTCTACACCCTCCAAATTAAATTGATCCTAACCCCAGAACTTTCAAGGTAGACATAAATCTTGAATATTTCTTTTAAAGAACTCAACATGTAAGATGCTAAACAAGTAAGATGCAAAAACAAGTAAGATGTTAAAACAAGTAAGATGCTCAACTAACCATTCTAGGGCTGATTTGGCCTTTGTTTCTTTCTAGCAAGAAATGTTTAGTTGATAATTACTTCCTTCTTCTGGAGTGCTCAAGACTAAGATGGCATGGACAGAAAGACCTTTTGTTTTTGTTTGTTTTATAATTATTATTATTTCTAATAATAAGAAATTTATCCTCCTTTTTTAAAAAAACAAAATTGCCAACTTTTTATTTATTAAAAATACAATAAGGTTTTTTCACATATCAAATTCTCATGTTATAGGTGGAAGAGACCTTGGATATCATCTCATCCTGCTTCTTATTTGATAGATACTTTTTGTAGGACGAGCTCTCAGTAACGTTTTATTTTTTATTTTTTAAAAATTTTTTATTGGAGTATAGTTGATTTACAATGTTGTGATAGTTTCTGCTGTACAGCAAAGTGAATCGGTTATACATATACATATATCGACTCCTTTTTAGATTCTTTTCCCATATAGGTCATTACAGAGTATTGAGAAGAGTTCCCTGTGTTATACAGTAGGTCCTTATTAGTTATCTATTTTATATATAGTAGTGTGTATATGCCAATCCCAATCTCCCAATTTATCTCTCTCCCCTGCCTCCCCACTTTCCCTCTGGTAAACATAAGTTTGTTTTCTACATCTGTGACTCTGTTTCTGTTGTGTAAGTAAGTTCATTTGTACCAGTTTTTTAGATTCCACATATAAGTGATATCATATGATATTTGTCTTTATCTTTCCGACTTGCTTCACTCAGCATGACAATCTCTGGGTCCATCCATGTTGCTGCAAATGGCATTGTTTCATTCTTTTTCATGGCTGAGTAATATTCCATTGTATATATGGACCACTTCTTCTTTATCCATTGGACATTTAGGTTGCTTCCTTGTCCTGGCTATTGTAAACAGTGCCGCAATGAACACTGGGTTGCATGTATCCTTTTGAATTATGGTTTTCTCAAGGTATATGCCCAGTAGTGGGATTGCTGGGTCGTATGGTAGTTCTATTTTTAGGTTTTTAAGGAAGCTCCATAGTGTTCTCCACAGTGGCTGTATCAAGTTACATTCCCACCAATAGCACAATAGGGTTCCCTTTTCTCCACACCCTCTCCAGCATTGGTTATTTGCAGACTTTTTGATGATGGCCATTCTGATTGGTGTGAGGTGAGGTATCATTGTAGTTTTGATTTGCATTTCTCTAATAATTAGCAGTGGTGAGCAGATTTTCATGCGCTTTTTGGCCATCTATATGTCTTCTTTGGAGAAATGTCTATTTAGGTCTTCTGCCCATTTTATGATTGGCTTATTTGTATTTTGATAACGAGCTGCATGAGCAGTTTGTGTATTCTGGAGATTAATCCCTGGTCACTTGCTTCATTTGCAAATATTTTCTAACATGTTTTGGGTTGTCTTTTCTTTCTGTTGATGGTTTCCTTTGCTGTGCAAAAGTTTTAAGTTTAATCAGGTCCCATTCATTTATTTTTGTTTTTATTTTCATTACTCTAGGAGGCGGATCAAAAAAGATATTGCTGGGCTTCCCTGGTGGCGCAGTGGTTGAGAATCCGCCTGCTAATGCAGGGGACACGGGTTCGGGCCCCGGTCTGGGAAGATCCCACATGCCGCAGAGCAACTAGGCCCGTGAGCCACAACTACTGAGCCTGCGCGTCTGGAGCCTGTGCTCCGCAACAAGAGAGGCCGCGATAGTGAGAGGCCTGCGCACCGCGATGAAGAATGGCCCCCGCTTGCCACAACTAGAGAAAGCCCTCGCACAGAAACTAAGACCCAACACAGCAAAAATAAATAAATTAATTAATAAACTAAGAAAAAAAAAAAAGATATTGCTGCGATTTATGTCAGAGAGTGTTCTGCCTATGTTTTCCTCTAAGAGTTTTATAGTATCTGGCCTTACATTTAGGTCTTTAATCCATTTTGAGTTTGTTTTTGTGTATGGTGTTAGGAAGTGTTCTAATTTCATTCTTTTACATGTAGCTGTCCAGTTTTCCCAGCACCACTTACTGAAGAGACTATCTTTTCTCCATTGTATGTTCTTGCCTTCTTTGTCATAGACTAGGTGACCATAGGTGCATGGGTTTATCTCTGGACTTTCTACCCTGTTCCATTGATCTGTATTTCTGCTTTTGTGCCAGTACCATACTGTTTTGATTACTGTAGCTTTGTAGTATAGCCTGAATTCAGGGAGCCTGATTCCTCCACCTCTGTTTTTCTTTCTCAAGATTGATTTAACTATTCAGGGTCTTTTGTGTTTCCACACAAATGTAAAATTTTTTATTCTAATTCTGTGAAAAATGCCATTGGTAATTTGATAGGGATTACATTGAATCTGGAGATTGCTTTGGGTAGTCTAGTCATTTTCACAATATTGATTCTTCCAATCCAAGAACATGGTATATCTCTCCATTTGTTAGTGTCACTTTTAAGTTTTTTTTCATCAGTATCTTATAATTTTCTGAGTACAGGTCTTTTGCCTCTTTAGGGAGGTTTATTCCTAGGTATTTTATTCTTTTGGATGCAATGGTAAATGGGATTGTTTTCTTAATTTCTCTTTCTGACCTTTCATTGTTAGTGTATAGGAATGCAAGAGATTTCTGTGTATTAATTTTGTATCCTGCAATTTTACCAAATTCATTGATGAGTTCTAGTAGTTTTCTGGTGCCATCTTTAGGATTTTCTATGTAAAGTATCATGCCCTCTGCAAACAGTGACAGTTTCACTTCTTCTTTTCCAATTTGTAGCCCTTTTGTTTCTTTTTCTTCTCTGATTGCTGTGGCTAGGACATCGAGAACTATGTTGAATAAAAGTGGCGAGAGTGGACATCCTTGTCTTGTTTCTGATCTTAGAGGAAATGCTTTCAGTTTTTCACCATTGAGAATGATGTTTGCTGTGGGTTTGTTGTATATGACCTTTATTATGTTGAGGTAGATTCCCTCTATGCTCACTTTCTGGAGATTTTTTATCATAAGTGGTGTTGAATTTTGTCAAAAGCTTTTTCTGCATCTATTGAGATGATCATATGGTTTTTATTCTTCAGTTTGTAAATGTGGTGTATCACATTGATTGATTTATGTATATTGAAGAAACCTTGCATCCTTGGGATAAATCCCACTTGATCATGGTGTATGATCTTTTTAAGGTGTTGTTGGATTTGGTTTGCTAGTATTTTGTTGAGGATTTTTGCGTCTATGTTCATCTTGGTATGTAATTTTCCTTTTTTGTGATATCTTTGTCTGGTTTTAGTATCAGGGTGATGGTGGCCTCATAGAATGAGCTTGGGAGTGTTCCTTCCTCTGCAATTTTTTGGAAGAGTTTCAGAAGGATAGGTGTTAACTCTTCTCTAAATGTTTGACAGAATTTGCCTCTGAAGCCATCTGGTCCTGGACTTTTGTTTGTTGAAAGTTTTAAAATCACAGTGTCAATTTCAGTAGTTGTGATTGGTCTGTTCCTTTTTTTTTTTTTTTCTTCCTGGTTCAGTCTTGGAAGGCTGTACCTTTCTAAAAATTTGACCATTTCTTCTAGGTTGTCCATTTTACTGGCATATAGTTGCCTGTAGTAGTTTCTTATGATCCTTTGTATTTCTGTGATGTCAGTTGTAACTTCTCCTTTCTCATTTCTAATTTTATTGATTTGACTCCTCCTCTGCCTTTTTTTCTTGATGAGTCTGGCTAAAGGTTTATCAATTCTCTTTGTCTTCTCAAAGAACCAGCTTTTAGTTTCACTGATCTTTGCTATTGCCTTCTTCACCTCTATTTCATTTATTTCTGCTCTGATCTTTATGATTTCTTTCCTTCTACTAACTTTGGGTTTTATTTGTTCTTCTTTCTCTAGTTGCTTTAGGTGTAAGGTTAGGTTGTTTATTTGAGATTTTTCTTGTTTCCTGAGGTAAGATTGTATTGCTATAAACTTCCCTCTTAGAACTGCTTTTGCTGCATCCCATAGGTTTTGGATCATCGTGTTTTCATTGTCATTTGTCTCTAGGTATTTTTTGATTTCCTCTTTGATTTCTTCAGTGATCCATTGGTTGTTTAGTAACACATTGTTTAGCCTACATGTGTTTGTGTTTTTTACAGGTTTTTTTTTTCCTGTAATTGATTTCTAATCTCATAGCACTGTGGTCAGAAAAGATGCTTGAAATGATTTCAATTTTCTTAAATTTACGAAGGCTTGATTTGTGACCCATGATGTGGTCTATTCTGGAGAATGTTCCATGTACACTTGAGAAGAAAGTGTATTCTCTTGTTTTTGGATGGAATGTCGTATAAATATCAATTAAGTCTCTCTGGTCTAATGTATCATTTAAGGCTTGTGTTTCCTTATTTTCTGTTTGGATGTTCTGTCCATTGGTGTAAGTGGGGTGTTAAAGACCCCCAATATTACTGTGTTACTGTCAATTTTCCTTTTTATGGCTGTTAGCATTTGCCTTATATATTGAGGTTCTC